AAATAGAAATTGCTGTTCACATTAACAAAAATCTTTGACTTCTTTTGGCTTGTAAGGTAATTCTTTGGAAGATTTTAGGTTGCTTGAATGCCAGGTAAGACACAAAGTTTACTTACAGTCAGGAAAATTGGCTGACTTTGCCTTGTGCAAATTGTATGTTAAACATACAGTTTTCTCCACCTTATTTTTTTAAGTCCATAATATTGAGCAGAATAATGTGTTCTAAGACAGGTATTTGGTTGCTGCTTTCTGCAGATTAAAGAAATTGATACAAGTTGTCACAGGTAGGGACTGACTTCAAACCCAAGTGATTGCTAGTTTACTCTTGGATATGCTTTCTTCTTTAGTAATCTTTCAGAGGACCCCTCACTACCCCATTGGCTTCTTTCAGACCCCAATCAGTCAGTTGCCTGTAGTGGAGATGAAGGTAGGGCAGGGCTATGAAGAGGGAGGCTGGCAGGAAGGCCACATTTCTAACCGGAGCTCTCCCTTGCCCAGGTGCCATTCGCACCCTCTGGCCTCAAGGTGCGCTACTTGAAGGTGTTTGAACCGAAGCTGAACTACAGCGACCATGATGTCATCAAATGGGTGCGCTACATCGGCCGCAGCGGCATTTATGAGACCCGCTGCTAGCTGCTTAATGGCAGCTAGCCCGCCTCCCCACCCACCCTCTTCCACAGGTCTAAGTGCCCTGGCCACCACACATAAGTGTCTCCTCCCTCCTGCTTTGCTGCCTTCCCTTTGCACCAGCCCCTGAGTCTAGGTCTGGACCAACCACAGGGCAAGCAGGACTGGTGGAGCTGTCCCTGGGCTCCCTGGGCAGGGTGGTTTCTGGGACTCCTGCTTCTCCTTCCATCTGCCCTGGCCCCGTGCCAGGCTGTGAGTTCTGTGACCAAAGCCAGATGGGCTTCTTCTCCTCCCCTCCCTTGTAGCCACATCTCTCGAGTGGGAGGGTTGGCTGCCCCTCACCTCAGAGCTCCCCAACAGCTAGTAACGGATCCCTAGCCCTCAGTCCCTACTCTGCTTTGGGATAGTGTGAGCTTCATTTTGTACACGTGTGACTTTGTCCAGTTATAGACCCAATAAACTCAGTAGAGTGGAGTTGCTGGCTAAGTGGAGTTGCTGATATGGGAGCTACATGGGGAGGCAAACTGGTGGGACTGCTCTTTCCATGTCTTACACTGCCTGCTTTAAGGATTTTGTTATGAACTCTCTCAAGACTTCTTCCCTTGTCTTGGTCTCAATTATTAGGCCCCTTCAAGGCCATCGGATCCCTAATCCTGACTCGTGTTAACCCCAGGTTCCCTGTTTCAGAAAACAGCCTCAACTACAATCAGCCCAACCAGGCCCCGGTTCTCTGAGGGAAGAGATTCTTTCCCATATTCACTGTAGCTTCAGGCAGGTGTTTTCTAATTAGAGATTAAGCAAAGTTTACATGTGGTCTTTCTTTTTCAGTCTTCCTGAGAAACTAACTGACCTAATTCCATTCGCTTCCCAAATCTTGGTGGGTGGGTTATAAAAGGGAAGATTTCACTCCCTGGGGTCTTCAAAAATTCCTTTCTGTACCAAGTGTTTGAGGGGTGGGTATGATGTTCCATATTCTGTTGGTGGGTTGGAGCAGAAAAAAGCAGATTTACCTCACAAATTTTCCCTTGCTTGGTTTCACCCTTTTTAAACCTAAGAAATCTATTAGAAATTTTCAAAAAATAAACCTAAGTAGCAAAATATAATGAACCCTCATGCCCCATCATCCAATTTAAACAATTATCAACTCATGGCCAATTTCTTAATATCACATCCAGTCTGTGTCCACACTTAATCCAAGTGCCCTATGAAACTTTTTACAATATTGTGTCTGGAGCCAAACAAAGTCCACTGTAGTTGGTGAGTGCTTCTTAAACGTTATAAATCACAGGTTCTCAGCTCTTGCAATGTTGAAGAAACCAGATAGTTATGTACATAGTTTCCCTGTCAGCTCCTCTTAGTGTTTTCCTATGAAGTGGTTTTTTAGATCTAGGGGCTTTATAGCATTATTTTAAAAACAGGATTGACTGATTCTCAGAAGGATAAATGAATAGTGTAATTTTAGGTGACAATTTTAGAGTGGGTTTGGAAGTGTTCCCTTTAATTGTGAAGCAGTATAAGCATCGTTAACTTCTGAGAGTCAGTGAAAAGTAGCCTTAGAGTCATTTACTGAGATTCAGGGTACAGATAAGTCTGTTTTGGGTGTAGGTAGGGAATAACCACAGAATTTCAACAGGCCATGTTGTAGATCTGGTGGTTTTCTTGCGCTTTGGCGGTGAGTGAGGCTGCGCCGAGTGGTGCAAGGACTGAATAGGCAGTTTTGACTGAGTTGGAGCTCGCGGGTGGGCGGACGGGCTACCAAGCTGAGACAAGAAGCCCATAAAATCTGGGAACCGTAACACTCCCCGCGGCTGCACAGAACAGCGCAAGGGGCTTCTGAGAGTTCATGGACCAGCGTGAATCAGCAAAGAGCTCAGGCTGGCTCCAAAATGGACCCGGCTGGGCACCCACACCGGTAAGGCCAATATGCTTTATCAACCTCCTGTCTGCCGGGAGGTTCCCACCCGTTGGACCTTAGACGTCCGACTTCCCACTCACCCTGCCCGCCTCCGTCATCTCCACCTCCCTGAAGGCAGCGAGGCCCGCACGTGTGGCTAATTTTTCAGCGGAAAAGGCGTTGCGCAAGCACAGACAGAACAGCCCCGGTGCAGACTCGGAAGCACGCGTGCGCACCGTTTCTCCCCCATGACCCCGCCCACTGGGTTCCGCTCAGTCCGCGCCTTTCTTACGTCTCCACTACGCGTGCGCCTTGAAACCAGGGTCGAGCTTTCGGGGGAAGGGCAGGGGGCGGGCCTTGTCCGGGATCTCTCCAAGACTGGGCGGAAGGGAGCCTGACTGGAACATGGCGACTTGCGCTGAAATCCTGCGGAGCGAGTTTCCCGAAATCGACGGACAGGTCTTCGACTACGTGACTGGTAAGCCCAACCGAATCAACACGCTGGGCAGGCCGAAGTGGAAGTCGGGAGGGGAAGACTAAGGGAGGGCAGTGCCGGGGCCGATACTAGGCCTCTCCTCTGTGTGACCTCTTCTCCCGAGGGCGCGTTGGGTCTGGAGCCCAGACTGGAGTCACGGTTCCCTCGCCAAACTCCTTGTATGTTCATTCTACCCGATATTTAACTTAACCTGGCACGCCTGGCCCAGGCGTCTTGCACAGCGGCAGCGCGGACTTCGAGTCTGTAGATGACCTGGTGGAAGCTGTGGGGGAACTGTTGCAGGAGGTGTCCGGGGACAGCAAAGATGACGCGAGCATCAGAGCCGTATGTCAGCGCATGTACAACACTCTGCGCCTGTACGTGGATGGTCAGGGGGGATTCGTGGGTGGAGATGGGCGGGAGGACCGCCAAGAGACGGTGCGGGGGTGGGGGTGAGGGAAGAAGTTTTGATGGCCATAGAGCTTTTTCTTGAACTCCTCACTCCGCCCTTTCTGTACCTACCGTCAAGGGCTGAGCCACAGAGCCAGGGAAACAGCCAGGTGCTGCTAGATGCCCCCATCCAGTTGTCAAAGATAACGGAGAACTACGGTGAGTGTGAGGGAAGATTGAACCAGCTACTCACTCTATCCTTTTCTCAGCCCCTGGGCCCCAGCCACCTGCCTCCTGTAGCTCAGAACTCCTGGTCCCTCTTCTCCATAAGACCAGATTGTAGAAGCTAGTTGTTGTCTTTACTGAAGGCAAAAGAGCCGGTTGATGAAGGGAGTAGGGTTGGAGGGTTCTCCAAGCTTTGGCAATAGTAGGAAGCATATGGGCTTTCGAGCTGGAGAAACGTGGGTTCCCCACCCCTTTTTGCGATTTCAAGACAAACTGCATGCTCTTGTAAGAGTTGCTTATTTGCTCCAGCCTTGTATCCTTTATATGAAATAGTTTTTTAAGTGCGGGGAGGAGGATAGCTATCTATATTCAGTATTGTTCAGCTTCGTATTGTAAAGCTTTCCTGAAAATGTCTGTCTGGTTTATATTGGTTACTCAAAATATTAGTTTCCCTTCCCTCAGGGGGAAGGTGACCGCTTTTCTTATTGCCTACAGACTGTGGCACCAACCTTCCAGGACTACTGAAGAGGGAACAGTCCTCGGTGAGGAACAGGAAGAACGGGAGGGGGCTGTTTATGGTTGGGGTAGGAGTTGACTGTCTCTAAATACTGCATTATTTTTCTGGGGTATTCTGATAATGTCGTTTTCTGTCATCAGGGGTAGGTAGAGAGCACTTAAGGTGCTCTCTCTGAGGGCTTCCTTTCTGAGCCTACACCCTAAGGTGAAAATGGTTTTGTTTGGACCCTTAGACAGTGAATGCAAAGAAGCTAGAGAAAGCTGAGGCTCGACTAAAGGCAAAACAGGAGAAACGCTCAGAGAAGGACACACTGAAGACCAGCAACCCTCTGTGAGTTTAGCATGAAATGTTTAAGAGAGCAAGCAGTCTCCACAGGGATGGAAGGGTGGTCGGGAGTGCCAAAAGCCATTCCTTTCTTTATTTAAAAGAGTCTTGGAAGAAGCATCAGCCAGCCAAGCAGGCAGCAGAAAGGAGAGTCGGTTAGAATCATCTGGCAAGAACAAATCCTACGATGTGCGAATTGAGAACTTTGATGTGTCTTTTGGCGATAGGTGAGGGTGTGGCAGTGGGGGTGTGTGTGATGGTTTTCTTTTTCCAATTAAAGGAGAGTTTGGAGAGATGAAATGGGGCTAAGTTTCTGTTGTTAAACTTGTAGTACACTTATGTCTAAAGCACCCCTTTGTCTTCTTCCTGCTACCCTTGCAGGGTACTGCTGGCTGGTGCGGATGTGAACCTGGCGTGGGGTCGCCGCTATGGCCTGGTGGGTCGGAATGGGCTCGGAAAGACAACACTGCTGAAGATGCTGGCCACCCGGAGCCTGCGGGTTCCAGCACATATTTCTCTGCTATATGTAGAGCAGGAGGTTGTTGGAGATGACACCCCTGCCCTGCAGAGTGTGCTGGAGAGTGACACTGTGCGAAAAGACCTCCTGCAGCGGGAGCGGGAGCTCAGTGCCCAGATTGCTGCTGGCAGGTGAAAGCACTTGGTTGAGGACTACTAGCAGCAGCTGTCCTTCACATAGTGCCTGCCCTACTGTCACAATCCCTAATTTGCATGTTCATCCCAGTGAGCAGCAGAGTGTAGAACTTAGCACTGAGAGGCTCTCAAGCCCTTGTTCCTTCCACAGTGCCCAAGGCCCTCAATGCTGTAAGCAGGTTCTTCCAATACTCTGTTCTTGTCCCAGCAACAAGTCAGCCAGTGGTCTGCTTTCAAACTGCAGGGAGTATAGGACAGCCTCTTGGTCTGCCCCCACTCAGGCTGGTTACACTTTCCCCCATTCCCACCCCAGGGCTGAAGGCTCAGAAGCTGCACAGCTGGCAGAAATCTATGCCAAATTAGAAGAAATTGAGGCTGACAAGGCACCTGCCAGGTATTTGAAATTCCCCCTTCCTTCACATTTCACCTTTCCCTTCTGTTACCTATTCCAACTGGGTTCTTCAACTTCACTTCTAGGGCTTCGGTCATTCTTGCTGGACTGGGCTTTACCCCTAAAATGCAGCAGCAGCCCACCCGGTGAGTGACCCTTGCCATTCTTGACTCTGACTACTGTTGGTTCTGCCTCTGCTGGTGCTGGTGAGACCCACCTCTGATGTGGCTCTGTCTATCTCCAGGGAGTTCTCAGGTGGCTGGAGGATGAGACTGGCCCTTGCCCGGGCCCTGTTTGCTAGGTGAGTCTTCCGGGCCTATTTATGCATACTGTGGGGGATGGACTTTGGCTCTTGGGAGGCAGCAATAACTTCAAGCCTAAAACTTCAAGCCTTGCATTCTTCTTTTCCATAGGCCAGACCTTCTGCTGTTAGATGGTGAGTGTGAAAGTGGGAAAGGTGGTAACACCCATGTTTCCTGGTGCTCTAGTCCTTCAATCCCAAATGTGTTCACTTTTCCAGAACCCACAAACATGCTGGATGTAAGGGCCATCTTATGGCTGGAGAATTACTTGCAGGTGAGTGCCTCCAGGTGCTGGAGTAGGTCTAGGGAAAGTCTGCCTCCAAGACACCTGGGGGCTGGGAGCTGACTGCCCTCCCAAACTGGGCCTACTGTCCTATGACCCCTCAGACATGGCCCTCCACAATTCTGGTTGTCTCCCACGACCGAAACTTCCTGAATGCCATAGCCACAGACATCATCCATCTGCATAGCCAGCGGCTAGATGGTTACCGGGGAGATTTTGAGACCTTTATCAAGAGCAAGCAGGAGCGTCTACTGAACCAGCAGCGTGAATATGAGGCACAGCAGCAGTATCGCCAGCACATCCAGGTTTGGAAGCAGGCAGGGCTGAGGGCTCCCCTCCCATGGGTATTGGAGGGAGTGAGGGAGCCAGAGCAATGCCTGCATTCATCTATCCACAGGTTTTCATTGACCGGTTTCGCTACAATGCCAACAGAGCCTCTCAAGTGCAGAGTAAACTCAAGATGCTGGAGAAGCTGTGAGTACAGTGTCCGTGACCAGGGTCTGACTCCTGTTCTCTTAATTTCTTGCCTTGTTTTGCAGGCCACTCCTTGCTTTTCCATTCTAGGCCTCCCCCTTTCTAGAAACCAACTATAACTTCCTATGCTGTGGGAAAGTAAAATGTTTTATACTGCTCTCAGAGTTAATGTTGCCCCAGGCCTAGGCAAACACTAATCTACTTCCTGTCTGTATATATTTGCTTATGCTGAACATTTAATATATAGGATTCATACAATGTGACCTTTGTGTCTGGCTTCTTTTGCTTAGCATAATGTTTTTGAGGGTCTCCTATGTCATAGCACGTATCAGTACTTCATTCCCTTTATTTTTTTATTTTGTTTTGTTTTCTGAGTATTTGAAACCTGGCATTTTATTTCTTTTTTAAATTATATTTTATTGATTATGCTATTACAGGTGTCCTGATTTTTTTCCCACCTTTGCCCTCCTCCACCCAGCATCCACCACTCCCTCAGGCAATCCTCCCACCATTGTTCACATCCACGGGTCATGCTTATATGGAATGGCTACTCATTTCCTAGATGTACTTTACATCCCATGGCTATTCTGTAACTACCTAGCTATACTTCTTAATCCCCTCACCTCTTTACCCATTCTCCACACCACTCTCCCATCTGACAACCATCAAAATGCTCTCTATCCACAATTCTGTCTCTGTTCTTGTTTGCTTAGCTTGTTTTTTAGATTCAGCTGTTGATAACAGATTTTTTGCCATTTTATTGTTCATAGTTTTGATCTCCTTTTTCCAAGTTTTGATCTCCTTTTTCCAATAAGTCCCTTTAACAGTTCATATAGTAGTGGTTTGGTGACGATGAATTACTTTAGTTTTTTCTTGACTGGGAAGCTCTGTCTGCACTTTGATGCTAATTGATAGCTTTGCTGGGTAGAGCCATCTTGGCTGTAGGGGTCCTTGGTTTTGAAGACTTTGAATATTTCTTGCCAGTCCCTTCTAGCCTGCATAGTTTCTTTTGAGACATCTGCTGACAGGCTTATGGGAACGCCTTTGTAGGTAACCAACTTCTTTTCTCACTGCTTTTAAGATTCTCTATTATCTTTAAACTTTGGCATTTTAATTATGACGTGTCTTGGAGTGGGCCTTTTTGCATCCATCTTGTTTGGGATTATTTGTGCTTCCAGGACTTGCATGTCTATTTCCTTCACCAAATTAGGGAAATTTTCTTTCATTATTTTTTTCAAGCAGATTCCCAATACATTGCTTTTTCTCTTCTCTTTCTGGCACTCCTATGACATGACTGTTGGACCTCTTCAAGTTGAACCAGGGCTATTTATACTATTCTCTCTCTCTTTTTTTTTATTCTTTTTTCTTCTTGTTGTTCTGATTGGTTGTTTTTTGCTCCCTTATGTTCCAAATCATTGATTTGATTCTCAGCTTCATCCACTTTACTGTTGTGTCCCAGTAAACTCTTCTTTATTTCAGTTAGTTTATTTTTTATTTCTGACTGGATCTTTTTTATGCTGTAGAGGCCCTACTAAGTTCCTTGAGCATCCTTATAACCAGTGTTTTGAACTCTGCATCTGATAGATTGCTTATTTCTATTTTGTTTAGTTCTTTTTCTGGAGTTTTGATCTGTTCTTTAATTTGGGGCATGTTTCGTTGTCTCTTCATTTTGGCAGCCTCCCTGTGTTTGTTTCTATGTATTAGGTAGAGCGGCTTTGACTCCGTGTCTTGGTTGTGTGGCCTAATGTAGCAGATGTCCCGTAGCGTCCAGTGACACACAGCCTCCCATATCACCCAAGCTGGGTACTCAAGGTGCGCCCTTTGTGTGTGCTGAGTATACCCTCCTCTTGTAGTTGGGTCTTGTTTGCTGTGGGCAGATCAATGAGAGGGATTTATCCAGGCCAGTCCGCTACAAGGACTGGCTGTGACCACTGACTACCAACCTCCACCCTCCATGGAGGATCAGCTGTGCAGGGGCAGGGTGGTGGTGCTCCAGTGTGGTCTGTAGCTCTCCACTGGGTATACTGGCCCTGGGATTTTCTGGGTGGTGCAGGCCAAGGTCAGCCCCCAACCTGTGTTTTGCCTGGGGCCACCTTCCCTGAGCTATAAAGCAATCTGAGATGGCTACTAGTGCTGGGCTTGGAGATTCCCAGGCGAAGCCAAGCTGTGAATCTAGGCTGGCTGCTGCTAGTGCAAGGCCTGGGGCTCACTGAGGCCAGCTGTGACTTGTTTGAGAGGATTTAGAAAGATGTGAAGCTATTAGTCAAGACCGGCCATTTATAAAAAAAACATAGCTTGGGTCCATACGTTGGGTGGGGCAGAGTCTCTAGGGATCTTCTAGGAGAGTCAAACAGTGTCATCCAAGTTGATGGAGTCTCAGATAGTGTATCAGCCTGCCAACTCTGTCAGGGAAGGGTTTAGTAAAGGGATAATGGCCTCTGTTTGCCTTGATGCAGACACTTCAGTTTCTCCCTATATATCACTAGTGTCTTTCAAGCTGCTACTCCAGCGCTAGAGCTCAGAGAGAGTGAGTCTGAGTAGGTGAGTTCATGTGTGGGCTCTGTAAGAGGAACTGTGTGGAGCTTTAGCAGTTTCTTCCACCGACTTCATCCCTACTGGTTTTTGCAGCCAGAAGTTGTGCAGACTTATCTTCCTAGTCCTGGAATGCTGGGACTCATTGCTCCCGACATATCCCTCCAGAATTTTTATCCACTACACGTGAGTGAGGCACCAGCCAGTTCCATGTTCGTGCCCTTCCTACCAGTCTGGATGGATGTGGTTTCTTTGATTCCGTAGTTGTCAAGACTTCCATTCACCTCTATTTCTGAAGGTTCCTGAGTGATGGTTTTGGTTTTTGGGTTTTTTTGCAGTTGTAATTTTGATGTGGTTATGAGAAGAGGTGAGCCTTGTTTACCTGTGCTGCCATGTTGACCAGAAGTCTTCATTCCTTTTTATGGCCAGATAATGTTTATTGATTCATCAGTTGGTGGACATTTAGATTTTCTTTTTTGGGCCCTTATGAATAGTGCTGCTATGAATATTTGTATACAAGTTTTTATGTGAACATGTTTCTAATTCTCTCTGGTACATACTTAAGAGTAGAATTGCTGGGTTACATGGTAATTCTGTTTAACTTTTTGAGAAACTGCCAAACTGTTTTCTAAAGCAGCTGCACCATTTACATTCCCACAACACTGTGTGAGAGTTCTAATTTCTCCATACCCTTGTCCACTTTTATTGTCTGTCTTTTTAATTTTAGCCATCCTAGTGGACATGGTGTGTTATCTCATTGTGGTTTTGGTTTGCATGCCTTAATGACTATGGATGAGCATTGAAAGTATAATCTTAAAGCAGCCTTTCCAGAAGTGCTGGTGGTAGGAGAGCCTAAAATCATTTTGTGACACTGAAACATCATGATGTGTTAACTAGGGCAAAAAGCTGCAGAAAGGATAATCCTCTTTTTTTCAGCATATAGTGAACTAGAAGAACGTACAGTCGTGTGCCACTTAACCAGATACATTCTGAGAAATACACTGTGGGGCAGTTGTGTCATTGTGTGAACATCATCAGCATGCACTTACACAAACCTAGATGGTATAGCCTACTGCACACCTAGGCAGTGTGGTATATAGCCTGTTATTGCTCCAGGCCTACAAGTCTGTATGGCATGTTACTGTGCTGACTACTGCAGACAATTGTAACACATGGTCAGTATTTGTGTATCTCAACATATCTAAACATAAAGCAGTCCAGTAAAAATACAATATAGAAGATAAAAAATGATACACTTGTATAGGGCACTTACCATGAATGGAAGTTGCTCTGGGTGAGTCAGTGAGTGAGTGGTGAGTGAAGGTGAAGGCCTAGGACATTACTGTACACTTCTGTAGACTCTGTAAACACTCTACACTTATGTTACACTAAATTTATAAAACAATGTGAAATTAAGCACAAGAGAAAATAATGCAACCAAGAGATGCAATAAGCATGAGATGTATGAAGCTGCTGCTGTTGGAATAGCATACTGTTTTACAGCAAACTTTTTTCATGAGTAGAAAGAGGACATTCTCAAATAATGGCAAAAAGTACAATATAATAGATAAACCAGTAAGATAGTCGGTTATGATCATTACCAAGTATTATGTGCTGTACATAACTAGATGTGCTGTATTTTATTTACATGACTGGGAGTGCAGTAGATTTATTTACACCAACATCACAACAAACACATGAGTAATACATAGTGCCGTGCTGGTGTGACCTGCTGTGATGTTACTAGGCGATGGAAGTTTCAGCTCCATTATAACCTCATGAGACCACTTTCATATGTGCAGTCTTATTGACCAAAGTGGTGGTACATAGTGTGTGACTATACTCAAAAATGAGAATGTTATCTGGGGAGAAAACTGTATTTGAACAATGATTAAAATTAAAAAAAAAAAGAATGTTATCTGGGTGGTGGGGGTACAGGCTTTCTCTCAGTTTTCTCTAAATGTATATTACTTGTGATAGAATAAATACAAATGATTACAGTGCCCACTCTCTCCTCAGGCCAGAGCTGAAACCTGTGGACAAGGAGTTGGAAGTAGTGATGAAGTGAGTACTGGGCCAGGAGGCTGGTGTGAAGTGCTTGTTTCTGGCCACCCCTGTGCTCTTCACCACCACCTCCTATCCCGCAGGTTCCCTGATGGGTTTGAGAAGTTTTCACCACCAATTTTACAACTTGATGAGGTGGATTTCTACTATGAACCTAAACACATCATCTTCAGCCGTCTCTCCGTCTCTGCTGATCTTGAGTCCCGCATCTGTGTGGTATGGTTGCAATGTTTCTGTTCCATGAGCTGAAACTCTTCCCCCTCTCCCTGCAATACATGCTGTGGATTAGCCCAGATTCTTGGGCTATCGTGGGAAGAGGCTACACTGGAGCAGCATCAGAGCCTGTGCCAAGGATTTTGCTATGCTTATACTGTCCCCACCCTCCAGCCTCACAGGGCTGCCCTGCAGAGATGAAAGCCTGCCATGCCATGTGGTACTTTATGAATACTTGAAGCAATATTTTATCTTACTGGTCTTAGCTCTCAGTTTTCTCAAACCATGGAGCATAGAGGAGAAAGCATGGGCTTCATGGTCAGACTTCAGATCCTGAGTCTGCTGTTTCCTAGCTTCATTACTAAACAGTTTTCTCAATTAAAATGGTGATAGCATCAACCTCACTTGGTTATTGGAAGAATTAAGTTACTAGCACTTAGTAGGTAGTCAGGTATTAGATTCTCTTTACATCTTACTACTTCATTATTCTTTTTAGGGTTTTTTTTTTTATGATGATGTTTAGAGAGAGAAACATCTACATTTGAGAGAAACATCATTTGGTTGCCTCTTACATGCCTCCAACTAGGGACCTGGCCCGCAACCCAGGCATGTGTCCTGACGGGAAATCGAACCAGTGATCTTTTGGTTTGCAGGCCGGTGCTCAATCCACTGAGACACACCAGCCAGGGCTGTTTAGTTTCTTAAAAATCCTTTAGTTGTTGAAAAAGTCATTGGGACTATCCAAGTCCAATCAATCCTCATTTCCTTCTCTTCTGTGCCCCATACATAAACACTCTTTAAAGTTCTTATGTTTCTTATAGGTTGGGGAAAATGGGGCTGGGAAGTCGACCATGCTGAAGCTGCTTATGGGGGACCTAACACCTATTCGGGGTATCAGACACGCTCACAGGTAGGGTCCGCACCTCCACTCTCTGTCACACACTTGTAGTTACCTTCTTTATGGTCATTACTTTTCATCCCCTCTTCCACCTTTTTTATCTCCTTGCAGGAATCTGAAGATTGGCTATTTCAGCCAACACCATGTGGAACAGCTGGACCTGAATGTCAGTGCTGTGGAACTGCTGTCACGCAAGTTTCCTGGTGTGTTAGGGATTGGAGTTGAGAAAGGAGGGCCAGGGCAGCCACCTACAGTTAGGCCTGTCTTGGGGAGGTGCTAAGCAGCCACCCCAAGTCTAGGTATAAGGACATGGGCATTTGGAGTTGGGGCTGGGGGAAGAGGGAAGGGAGAGAGTTGGGCCATGATGGGATGGTACCTATTCCAGGACGGCCTGAGGAGGAGTACCGTCACCAGCTGGGCCGGTATGGCATCTCTGGAGAACTGGCTATGCGCCCTGTTGCCAGCTTGTCTGGGGGCCAGAAGAGCCGGGTAGCCTTTGCTCAGATGACCATGCTCTGGTGAGGCCACGTTTTCTAAAGTTTCTAGTAGAAAATGATTCTCTTTTCTTTGTATCAGAGGAGTTCATGTTTCTCCCACCCCCCATAACTGCCTGCCTTGCTGCATTCTGCCTTCCAGCCCCAACTTCTACATTCTGGATGAACCCACAAACCACCTGGATATGGAGACAATTGAGGCTCTGGGCCGCGCTCTCAACAGTTTCAGGGTCAGTGTGCCTTCATCCTGCTCACTTCTCCCCAGACTTCAGCGCCTCTTAGGGCCTTCCCCGCAAGTGCCTGTGGTCTCCTGTTTTTCAGGGTGGCGTGATTCTGGTGTCCCACAATGAGCGCTTCATCAGACTGGTGTGCCGGGAGTTGTGGGTGTGCGAAGGAGGTGGCGTCACCCGGGTCGAGGGGGGCTTTGACCAATACCGTGCCCTTCTCCAGGAACAGTTCCGCCGTGAGGGCTTTCTCTAGGCCCAATAGGCTGAGGACTGCCCAGGACATGGACTGGTCTCTCAGACCCCTGGGCCACCATGTAGGCAACCATCTCTTGGCCATGGACCTCCCCTGACTTGGGGAACAGCCTTATCCCCAAATCTCTCCTTTTGACTGGAGCATTCTCTGCACAATCCAGGGAGCCCCATCTAAGGGTCTGTGAGGACTGGTCTTCTAAGTGGAAGGGGTGGGGGGTGCCCTCTGGGGTTATAGATTCCCCACTGCCCCAGGTCTGACTGGGCCCCAAGTGGCTGCTGTGTAAATTAAATCTTCCTGCCTCGTCTCTGCTGTTCCCTGGTTGGGCTGCGGTGTGTTAAGGGGTGTGGGCTCTCTGATTTGACATTTTCCTATGACACTTGTATCAGTCACAAGGAAGAAGTTGTATCACCAGCCTTGTTCCTGGAAGGAGACATCAGTAAGCCGCTGGGGCTGGGAGGTCACCTGCCTGACCTTGCAATGGGCTGTGTTGTTGGAATGAAAGGCAGTGTGTTACATTGCTGTGGTGCCGGTCCCAATAGTATGGGCTCAGCCCCAGCTGAAAGGGTCTTGGATTCTGCCATCCCAGCCTCACTGCTTGGTAGAGTAAACTGAATCTGTAATCCTGTGGCTTTACACATGGTTTGTCAACTGCTTTCTCCTGTGGTCTCTGGCCCAGGTTCACCCTATATCTCTGATACAGACCTTCAGAAGGGGATGAAGAGAAATTGTCTTTGTCAGTGTTTTGCATGAGTGGTTTCATTTATTTGTCCTCTAACCATGGAGGAGTGGCTAGGAAGTAAGGAATTGAAAATGTGGTCCAATGGGAAGAAATAGAGCACTTTCTTTTTCAAATTAAGCAGTCTTTAAGGGAGAGTGTTTAACAGATAATTTATAAATATTGTTTTTTGAGGGCTAGCTGCTATATGAAATTGCTATGCAGAAAACACTAACACAGAGGCATTGTTTTGCTCTTGGTAGTGGAGAAACCAGTCAGCAGAAGGAACTTGCTGGCTTCTTAGAGAACTATAGTCACAAAGCTCAGCCAAGGAATTTTAACTCAGCTGCTAAGAATATTATGGTATAGGTAGCTGGGAGAGAGTGACGTGTTTTGGAGTAAAGGAAAGTAAAGGCAGGAAGGCTCTTGCTTTGCCCGCAGAACAAGCAGTGTTGGATGGATGAAGCCAGCAGTAGAGCCACTAATCGGCCTGCCTCCTCAGCCTCCCTCACTCCCTTTCAGCAGCCCAGAGGAAATGTTCTTCCAGCTGTGTCTGTGGCTGTGCATTTTCACACTCTGAAGAGCCTTCTCACAGTCTCCATTACTTTCTGCCAACCCCAGCCCTGCAGATGGGCCAGCTGGGGGCCATCTGGTATGTAATATGTGTTTACCTGTTTGCCAGGCTCTCAGCCCCTTCACACTTCACAAGCTTGTGAATCTTCATATGAGTTCTCCCAACTCCTTAGAGTTGGTGGGAGTACAACTAAAGGGTTCTGTGACACAGAATCTGCTTCTTTTAGAGGTAGGTGACTTGGTACAAAGCTTTGGAGGTGGGTCTAAGATCAAGTCCCAGTGTCATTACTGGTGACGGGGGAGGGGGGGTCACCAGAGTAAGAAATATTAGCTGAGTAGGAAATCACTTAACCTTTTTGAACACCTCTTGCTTGATTTCTTTGTAGGATTGTGTTGAGGATTAGCTGACAAGCACATAATACGAAGCACTCACAAAGTGAGTCTTGTGTGACCGGGCTATGATTTGAAGGAGTGTGGTGGGAAAAGTGAGTTCCCAGTCTCTGTGACTGTTCGGCTCTTCCAGGCTCTAGAGAGAGGATCTCTTTCAGCTTGGCTTCCTATTTCATGATTCTATGAACAACATGGGAAGAGTCTGTATATAGACCTACACTGCAGGCGTTCAGAAAATTGGGATGAATGAATTGTAGCAGCTGAGAAAGACTATAATAAGTATAGGGGGAATTATTGGAGGTTAGAGGAAGGGAGTTGTCAGAAAATAATTGTCTTGAGAGAACATTCAGACAATGTCAGCTCCGTTCCAGAAAGCACAGGGCAGAGAGGAGAGGAATCTGACATGGGAGGTTCGGAAGCCACCCTTGTTCACTACAGACTGCTCATTGCAGCAGCCACACCTTTTGTGCTGTGGAGGGCCTATCTGACCCCAGCCATTGGGAAGCTGGTCCTTCCACAGCTGCAGATGCTGAAGCTGCCTTGCTGTCACCAGGCCTTAAAGCCGAGGAGCCAGCCAGGTTGAAAGTCCTTGGTTCACAGGATCTGCATTGACTTCCTGGCCTCCCTGACCTGCTGGCCTTCTCAGGCACCCTGGCTGGTCTCGCAGTGGGAGACAGTGTAGAGGCGTTATGGGTCCTTTAGTACCAGATTACAAGGCACTCAAAGATGCCACTCAGAATGGTTGGTCTCAGTGTGCTATTACTATCTAGAGATTTATTGGCCATAGCCAAAATTTTGCAGAGTTCTTACTGGTTTGCAGGCAAATTTAGCATAAAATAGGAGAGATGCCTTTTACCCTTGCTGCCCATGCCCCAGGCTAGTTTGTCATTTTTTTTTTCTAAGATTTTGTTTATTTTTAGAGAGGGGAAGGGCGGGAGAAAGGGAGAGAAACATCAGTGTATGGTTGTCTCTTGTGAGCCCCCAAATAGGGATCTGGTCCCACAACCCAGGCATGTACTCTGACTGGGAATTAAACCAGCAACCCCTTGGTTCACAGTCTGGCATTCAATCCACTGAGCCACACCAGCCAGGGTGTAGTTGTCATTTTAGAATGTAGCATTCTAGTAAAAGCCATTCCCTAGGTCCGGGTCTAGCCCACCTACAGATACAAACCAAAAATAGCCTGGTCAGCATCAACAGCTCCCTGTTCTGCACCAGCCTCAAAGGGGCCTACCAGGCTGGGTTCACAGCCTGGCTGAAGGGCCTCTACGGGTCCCTGAATCAGGAGTGATGGACTCCCCTCAACCCCACCCCCCTCCAGATAGACTTCGTTGTACCTTGTGCTTCCCCCATTATGAGCTGCTTGCCATTATTAAAGTTGTAGATCCCACTTTGCCTTGATGGCCTATAACGCCAGACATGGCTTACTCACCTGTGTGTCTTCTGTGCCTGCCACAGGTGAAGAGATCAGCATGCAAGGTGTTTATTGGAGCTGCTCCTGGGACCAACACCAGGATTGAGCAGAGGGAGAAGTTTAACAGCCATGAAGGCCTCCATCAGCCCCACATTCTGGAGCTGAGTAGCCCTGCAGAGTTGTCCTGAGGCAATGGCTCAGGCAGGCCCTTGTGTTGCTGAGTTGATCAGTCTTTGAATACCGGCTGCTACCAGAAGGAGATGTGAAGTTGAGAGGACATTTTCAGTGGAGGCCATTTCCCCGAAGGGGCTAGCAGCTGAAAATTTTCTGCCATCAGCACTCTCAGGAGCTAGGGCAGCAGGTCCTTCACTCCTGAAAGAAGGCGGTCTGGGCAGCTCGTGACAGCATCTACTAGAGTGCCTAGCATGTAGACAGGTGCTCAATAAAAATGCTTGAGAAATAAGTGTTTTGGGGAAATAATTTGAGGAAAAGTGAAGAATGATATTGGAGAGAGCAAGAGATAAGGCCATAACCAAAATGCAGTCCTAAAGGGCATGGGGTCCACATGGTGCAGGTGGAGACGAGGGAGGGCTCGGCAAGGAGTGGTCCAGGGAAGAACTCCTTTTTCTGGGCCTTTTTTGTTGTTAGGCCTCTCCTCATTTCCTTTCATGACAGTACTAAGGAAATAATGACAGTAAATATTTATTGAGCTCTTATTGTGTAGTAGGCACAATAAGAAGTAAGTCCTTTATCTGCACTAACTCAGTCAATCTTCACAACCCTATTCTCACTTTATAGATGAAAAAACAGTAAGTTGACATAGCAGGTGGCAGGACTAGGACTCAGGCCAGTCTGGTTCTGGAGTGCAGCTCTTAACTCCTGCTGTACTACCTGCTGCTCTGTACTAACTCCTACTGTGATCTGCTCAATAGTTGGAGTTTGTCCATTCCATCTCTTAAAACTCATCATCCCATGGGGCATGGGTGGGAGGTAGGGGGTTTGGACAGGATTCTGTCAGGGGAGCAAGCTGATGAGTAGGAGTACCTGGCATAGGCTGACACACTGGGCGCTCAGTGAAGCTGTTTGTTAAATTAATGACTAAAAACACGTGGTATAGTGGAAAAGTCATGTGGTGGCATTAGCCCAGCTCTTCCACTAATGGCATCTTGGGCAAGTCAACCTCTCCCAAGTAAATTATCCTTACCCATAAAGTGGGTATAACACAATTCGTCTTGCCTGCTGCTTTCGGTAGTTGGGAGGGTTAAATGAGACAAAGCCCCGTGTAAGCTAAATAAAATCTTATGTAAACTGTAAAGAGCTGTAGATCCAAAGGGTGTCATTTCATGGAGTGATAGAGCAGCAGCCTGGGGCCTTCTCTGAAGACACACGCATTTGCACATGTGCACACAGATATTCCAGGCTGTCATCAAGATGATGCCCCAGGAGGACCACCCACAGCCCGCATCTGCAGAGCCAGGCATCAGGAAGTGTACGTGCAGGAACACAGTGTGAGACGCCTGGCACCTGCTGAGTTGCATGGGGTAAGGCAGAAATCATGCAATTTAAGCCCATTCTAATAATATGTATAGGTCATGCCCTGTCAGTAATTCTAGGTTTCTCTTTTCTTTATGTTAAATAAATGGGTGGTTTGAAAGTGATTTCTGCTTTACTGCATATAGAGAGGTCTTTGAAACCCTAAATTAGAATAAATATTTGTCAACCCATGCTACAGCATTTTTAACACAGGAATCTTTCTCAAATGTTCACTTTTGGTCGTGTCTTCCCCATAGTCTGGTGTTAAGATGTTCCTGATGAATTATTCTCATTTTACAGAACTGGAGCTTGAGGCAGAATGGTAGTAGGTGTCTTGCTTAGGTTCAGATAACTCTGCCTGCAGAGAGGGGACAAGAACCAAGGTATCTGGGTCCCCAGGCTTCTCACACCTCTCCAGATCACTGTTCCCAACTTTGTTCCACATTTATTCATACAGTGGGTGACATTCTCATGTCACACATGGCCATGAGTACGCTCAGGGTCATGTTACTGTCTGTCCTTTTAGGGAAGTACTTTGAACCTGGAATGAGGAAATGACTGAATCTGATTTAACTTGTTTTTAGCTTGTAAATTAGGGAGCCAACTGTGGAGTCAGAAAGAAAGAAATTTGAGTCTGAATTCTGTTAGGTAGTATCTGTGTGATATTAGAGGCAAATTAAGCCTCTTAATGCCTCAGTGTCCAGGTCTGTAAAATGAGAATAATAATGGTCCTTACACTGTAAGGTTATGGTGAATATTAAACAAGATAATACAAACAAAACCCAGTATGCTTCCTAGTAGTTCCATAAATGTTAACCATTTCAATGATTATTAGTATTCATTGCAACCCTCACTGTTTTATTAATTTTTAGTGAGACATAGTTTGATTCCCTGTGGCTAAAAACTAACGTATTTAGTCACGATGCTTCTGCCAAAATGACAGGTGCCAACACCTTTTTAAAGTCTGCCTGATCCAAGTTGCCTAAAGGAGGGACATGTCAATCCACAGTGCCCATCCCAGCACTGCCCAGAAGGGTAGCCTGGAGGCTGCTTCAAACCCCAGAGTTTCTAATTAGAGGCTTTCCTGTAGAAATGAATGGGTCAAGCAGGCATTTAGAGTGTGGTCCGCTCAAAGTTCTAATCGTGGCACTAATCTCCTTGTTTTGATTCCATGTTCATGAAGCGATCCCTTTAGGGTCTCCCCTGGAGGTGGCCTATTAGGGAAAATATGGCCAAAGCCTGAACCCTGGGCCTGGACAGGGCTAGCCACCCTGCCTGGCCCCACCACTTACTAGCTCAGTGTCCTGGACCTAGTTCTATAATGTCTTAAAAGTACAATTTCCCTCTGGATAAGATGGGATGCTAATTTGCATAAGGTTATTGAAAGGATTAAGAGATACACAGGGATGGGAGGAATGCCTGCCAAGGAAGGTGAGTTCCTGTTAAAAACCCTAATGTTCTGCAAGGGGGAGGGCGGGGAGCAGTCAGGGGTATCTGGCTTTCTCAAACGTGGTGGGAAGATGAGATATCGTGGGGTAGAGAAGGTAAGAGAAAAGATGCGTGTGTCCTGAGTTTGGAACACCTCAGCGAAGGAGGTAAGGGACCAGTGCCAGTTTCCCAAAGGTGGGGTGTCTAAAGGACATTTAAGAATGGTGGCAGTCTATTCTTTGATTTGAAGTTATTTGCATTTCTGAGGTGCAAAACCCTCTTCCAGTTACAGTATCTCAAATCTTTAATAAAGTCACATACTAGTGATTTATGTTGCTTTTATTTCTGCTTTTTGAGATCAAGGAAGGGGCTGGATCAGTGCAGTGTAGGACAGATGAAATAAGGAAGCAGGAGTTTTGAGCCAGAGGGCATCCCTTGGCTGACTTGATCATAAGAATGAAAAAAATGCCCAACTGCTGTGAACTTGCAGAAAACTTAAAACTAAGGCTTTAATACTAACAAGTACATGACTTTACCTGTATTTTCAGACTTATTTGGACTCTAGTGTGATCGCTGCACTTTTTGTTATTCAGATTAACTTGGACCTATTGCTTTAAGTTTAGAACCACTTTACCTGATAAAGTGTCTCAAGGTTAATGAAAAACATAATAGACATATTACATGAAAAATAATGTATTGCTAAATATGTTTACGTTATGCTTCTCACTCTCATGGTTTAGGCTAGGCTAAAGATACACATTTAGGCAACATAGCTCCATTCATTTGTAAAGTTCTGAGGGCTCATCTGCTGGTTGCTGGCAGGAGGCCTCAGTTCCTCACCATGTGAACCTCCCCCAGAGTTTCTTGAGTGTGCTCACGGCATGGTGCCCAGCTTCCTCAGAGCAGGTCATCCAAAAAAGCCACGTGCCTTTTGTGACCTAGTCTTATAAAGCCCCCTGCTCCTATCACTCCCACCACATTCTGTTGTTAAGAAGCAACTCAAATAGCCCACACTCAAGGGCAGGGCAGTTGGGCTCCACTTTTTCAGAGGACAGTATTAAGGAATTTGTGGTCTTACTTTACAACCACTACAATTGACATTGTGGTTTAAAGTTCAGGCTTGGTGAAAACTGAGATATATAGATATATAGATACATATATTCTCCATATCAACTGTCCGTGTGTATGTGTGCCTTTATTCACAGATTCAGTATGTATAATTGCATTTTATAGCTGTGGTACCCTTGCTGTTTTGTATTTGCCTTCAAACTTAGCATATTTATTTCAAAAACTTGCTTTTTTGTAATTGTTATTATGGTTTTCATTCTTAAAAATCTGTATGAGCCCTGGCTAGTGTGGCTCTGGATTGAGCACCGGCCTGTGAACCAGGGGGTCATTGGTTTGATTCCCAGTCAGGGCATATGCCTGGGTTGCTGGCCAGCTCCCTGGTTGGAGGTGTATGAGAAGCAGCCAATTGATACTCCTCTCTTACATTGATGTTTCTCTCCCTGTCTTACTCTCTCCCTTCCTTTCTCTCTGAAAATACTTTAAAAAATTTGTATGAGTACATGTACCATAGCTTGTTTAAACATCCTATTTTTAGCCATTTGGGTTGCTTCTGAATTTTTACTATTATGAATAAATGCTACAATGAACATGTGCATTCACATTATCTAAGTTTTCAGTTAGTAACATAGGAATTGGAATATTTATACCAAAGAGCTGTAATAATCAAATGGGATAATGTGTATAAAGCACCTGATATAGAGATTTTCATACAATAGATACAAAATAAATGGTGGCCCCTATGTTATCAGAACGTAATCATACTGACTTGGAACTTTCTTTTGTGTACATGCAAAGATTTTCAAGAGAGAAAAAAGAAGCAAGGAAACCTTACAGAGTCTGAAAGGATGTATCGAGGCTGCAGTTACTCATTAAAGAACCGACGTAGTTCTTTGCACTTAGTATTCTCATTCACACATTTTATAAACTTCCTTGAACTTTTATCCCCTCATATAGAGTATCTTTATTTTTCTGCAATATCTTAGAATTCTTGTGTAGATAAGTTATCATGCTAGGAATTTTGACATCAACTATCTATCATCTCTGTCTATATATCTCTCTCAGTATTGTATTTCCTAAAGCCTGTTGAGTATTGGAGATTTTGTGCTTCTGAGGCAGTGAAAACATAGACAAATTTTGTGCAGCAAAATGCATTGAACTGCATAGAAAAGGCAAAATTACCCACAACTCAAAAGGACAGTTGAACTTATAGAAAAGGCTATATACAAATCAAGGTAGACAGTGTCAGAAAAGTAAAAAGAAATTAGGGCAATTCCTGCTAAAGGAAGAAGGGAAGGAGCATAGGCTGTCTCCAGGTAACTTACTTTGTTTAAAAAAAGTCCTTCCTCACCCTGGCCAGTGTGGCTCAGTGGGTTGGGTGGCATCCTGCAAATTGAGAGATGGCCGGTTCTATTCCCAGTCAGGGCACATGCCTGGGTTGTGGGCTCTGTGTTCAGTCCCCAGGTTGGGGGTGCTTGCAGAGGGTGGCCAGTTGATATTTCTTGCTCACATCAATATTTTTCTCCTCTTCCTCCCTTCCCCTTTCTCTAAATTAAAATAAAAATATTATTTTTAAAGTCCTTCCAAAATAATCTCCTCTTTCTCCTGGTTCCCATGGTTATTTGCTTCCACCCCCTTGGAGTGCTGGCCGCATTCTGCCTTAAAATGAGCATCTGTTGCATGAAAGTTGCAGTACAAGGGATTCATCCCAGAATCCCTCGTGGGGCCACCATGAAGCCAGACACACAATAGTGACACTCAGAAAAGTTTGTGGAATCCTCAGCCCCATAGCTTCACTTCACTGGAGAGCCCATAGCAAGTCTTTGTACAATGTGGTGGTGTGTGTAGTTCCTTTGGTTGGAACACCTGGTGATGCTCAGTTGAGAGCCAAAATGTGGTGGGGCACTGTTTGGACATCCCTGTCAGCGAGGTCAAGATGTAGTTGTCCATTTCTGTTGCTATAGTAAGGCTTAATCTTGAACTTAAAAAAAATCATGCTGTATATTTTGTGGCATAAATTTTAAACTTTATTATGAAAATTGCAAACATGTACAAGAATAGAAAAACAGAATAAAGAACCCCTATATACACATTACCCAGCTTCAACAATTATCCTTCACAGTTCTTGTTAATCTTACTTCATCCACACCACCATCCTCTGTCTGCCCTGTGAATCCTGCTTTTGTCTCCACCACTCGCCACCCCATCCCTGCACCAGAATAATGCATATATTAGTGTTACATACTCTCATCAGGAAGAATATATAATGTTTCATTGTGATTTTGTGAGAGTTTTGATACTTATAACAATAAGCTTCAGTTTTTCTTTTCCCCTCATTTTCTTTGCAGTTGATAAAAAGCTTTCTTATAGCGTTATGCAGTGTATAATCCTTTGCCATTTTTAGGTAATCATGATTATACTACACAAATCAATACACTGTAGAGATGTAATTTTCTTGCAAGAAGCAAAATTCTTTTTAAAAATAGACTTTTTAAAAGGCAGTTTTAGATTCACAGCAAAATTAAGGGAAATGTACATGGATTTCTTATGTACCCCCAATCTCTACACGTGCATAGCCTCCCCTATTGTCAACACCCCCTACCAGAGTGGTAGATTTGTTACAATTGATGAACCTATATTGACACGTTATCACCCAAAGTCTATAGTTTACACTAGGGCTCACTCTTGGTGTCATACATTCTGTGGATTTGGACAAATGTGTAACATGTATCCACCATTATAGCATCATACAGAGTCATTTCATTGCCCTAAAAGTGCTCTTAAACTTTCAAAAAATTCAAAAGTATTCTTGCCCTGACCAGTATGGCTCAGAGGGGTGGGTGTCATCCTGCAAAGCCAAAAGTCACCAGTTCAATTCCCAGTCAGGGCACATGGCTGGGCTGAGGATTCTGTCCCCAGTTGGTGCACATGGGAGAGGCAGCTGATCCATGTTTCTCTCTCATTGATGTTTTTCTCCCTCTCCTTCTCCTTCCCTTCCCCTCGCTCTAAAAATAAATAAAACCTTTTTTAAAAAAAAGTATTAAATATAAAGTATTATTCTTGCCCTGGTCAGGGGGCTTAGGAGCATTGTCCGGAACACCAAAAGGTTGGAGGGTTAATTCCCAGTCAGGGCACACACCTGGGGTGCAGGTTTGATTCTCGGTGGTGGCACATATGTGAGACAGCTGACCAATGTTTCTCTCCCTCCACTGTCCTCACACACCTTCCCCTCTCTCAAAATTAATAAATGTATCCTTGGGGAGGATTTAAAAAAGAAACAAATGTACATTAAATCAAGGGTGATGGAACATAAATTGGCCACTTGTAAATGGTTCATGGGTGGGTGGGTGGGCTTCTTTATTTGCAACAAATTTTCTGTACACTTGAGATTGTTTCAAATTTTAAAAATATTTTTAAAGTATAAAAGTAATACATGAGTGTTGTAAGAAGTTGAAGAATGCAAATAAATATAGAACCCCTTCTTCCCAATTCTAGTCCCCCTTTCCCTAAAGAAACCATTATTACCAGGTTTATCGTTATCTTTCCAAACCTCATCTGTATTCATGTGACCAGATGAATCTGTAAATTGATACATATGGGAACACCTTTTCTCATTGTGCCAGCTACTAACTTTTTCCTTAGTGTCCTTCACTAAAAAGAAATTTTTATAACATTTTACTTTAAAATAATTTCAGACTTAGAGAAATGTGTCAGAATATTACAAAGAATTCTGCTCTTCCCTTCAGCCAGAGTCCCTAAATGTTAATATCTTGCCACATTTGCTTCATCATTCTCTGTGTCTTTGTTTTCCCCCAAACTGTGAGAGTAAGTTGTAGACATAAGGTTCCTTTAATTCTAAATACCCCAATATGTTGTTTTTACTCATTCTAATTTATTTTATTTTTCAAAGATTTTATTTATTTTTAAATCTTTAAAGATCTTATTTATTTACTTTCAGAGACAGGGGAAGGGAGGGAGAAGGGGAGGGAGAGAAACATCAATATGTGATTGCCTCTTGAGGCCCCCTCACTGAGGACCTGGCCTGCAACCCAGGCATGTGCCTTTACTGGGAATTGAACCAGTGACCCTTTGGTCTGCAGGCGGGCACTCAATCTACTGAGCCACACCAGCTAGGGCTGCTGCTGTTTTTCTTAAGCACAAGGACTTGCCTTATATAACCACAGTACAATTATCAAAATCAGGAAATACACATTGAAAGTGTTATTATCTAATCTATAGAGTTTATCTAATTTTTGTCAATTGTACCACCCATTTCTTTTATAGAAAAAAATTTATCTAAGATCACACTAAATTGTATTTCGTTGTCCTGACTCTTTAGCTTCCAGTAATCTGGAACAGTCCTTTGGGCTTTATCTTTCATGACCTTAACATTTTGGAAGGGTACAGGACATTCATTTTGCAGAATATCCCTCAATTTGGGTTAGTCTGGTGTTTCCTCATAATTAGATTCTGCTGCGCATTTTTGGCAGGAATATCACATAAGTGAAGCTGTGCCTTCTTTGTGCCTCTGATCAGGTCCCATGTGATGTCAATTTGTCCCATTACTGGTGGTGGTAGCTTTGATTACTTGGTTAAGGTGGTGTCTGCAGGTTTCTACGCTGTAAATTGCTGTTTTTCCCTTTGTAATTAATAAGTGCCTTGTGGAGAAACCATACTTAATTTTTATGTACCGTATTTTTAGGACTATAAAATGCACCGGACCAAAAGATGCACCTAGGTTTTAGAGGAGGAAAATAGGAAAGAAAATTCTGAAGCAAAAAATGTGCTGAAATATTTAATAACCTATGACCCCACTCCACCACTGCCCCACCCCCAGCGAGCCAGGTAAGCTACATTCGTACTATAAGACGCACCCCACTTTCCTCCTAAATTTGGGGGAAAGTGCATCCTATAGTCTGAAAATATGGTAATCAAAATCATCAATGTTTTGCAACAAGGATTTATTCTTTTGAAGTGTTTCAGTCCTTCTCCACCACCAGTAAGTGACAGGTTTTCTGCAACATTGTTTTTTTTTAATTGAATTTAATGGGGTGATATTGGTTAATAAAATTATACAGGTTTCAAGTATACAATTCTGTAATACATCAGTTATATATTGTGTGTTCACCACCCAAAATTTAAATTTCCTTCTGTCACCATTTGTCCCCCCTTTACCCTCTTCTACCTCCTCCCACCCCCTTTTCCCTCTGGTAATCACCACACTGTTGTCTGTGTCTGTGAGCTTTTGTTTTCTTTGCTTAATCCCTTCACCTTTTCCACCTGCTTTCACCTGCAAGGCCCCATCCCTCTGTCAGCTGTCAGTCTGTTTTCTATCTCTGAGTCTGTTTCTGTTTTGTTAGTTTATTTTGTTCATTAGATTCCACATATAAGTGAGATCATACGGTATTTGTCTTTCTCTAACTGACTTACTTCATTCGTTATTTTTCTATTAATTGTATAGGTTTTTTAAATTGAAGTTCAATCCATCTAAAATTCACCCTGTGTATGTTGTATAGGAACACAGTCTTCACCTTTCTCCACACAGTGAACCGGTTTTTCCAGCATTACTTACTTAACAACCTATCCCTTCTTTAGTGATGGTGGTGCCACATTTATTGCACATTATGTTTTTGTTTATATTATATTAATTATATTAATTATATTATGTTATATACGTGGTTCGTATTCTCTATTGATCTATTCTTGTACCAGTACCATATCTGGCAGGGTAAGCACTACTCTTTATTATTATTATTTTG